TCTCAGGGTGCGGGTGGAAGAAGGAGCTCTGAGCCTCCCCACTGGATCTGCCTCATGGGAAAGAAGCAGAGCGGAGCCAGAAGCAGCTTCATGTGCTACCCTGCTGCTCCTCCTCCCCTTCCCCTGGTTGGGGAAACAGCAGTTGACTGATGCACTGCCTGGAGGCATTCCCCACGCTCCCACTGGCCAGAATCTGGTCAAAGGAAGCAAAAAGAGGTTGTGCCTGAGACATGATGCCTGGAAGCAGCATGAGGTGTGAAAGTAAGTAAGTATCTTCCCGCCCCCTTATGCCCAGACCCCTTACCCCTAGCCTGTTCCTGCACCCTCCCCCCGGCCAGACTCCTTCTTCCTGTACCCTCCCCTTGCTCCTGCATCCTCTTCCTGGGACACAGACCCTACCCACAGCCTGCTCCTGCACCCTCCCTTGCTCCTGTACCTTCCCTCCTGGCCAGACACTTTACCCCAATCCTGCTCCTGCACACTCCCTCCTGGCCACACACTACACCTTCCTTTGCTCTTCCCCCTAACCCCTGGCCAGACACTCTTACTTCCAGCCTTCTCCTGCACCTGACCTCTCATCCAGACCTCGCACCCTCACCCCCTCTTGCACTCTACCTCTTGCCCAAATTCTGCACTCTCACCCCTATTCTACTCACTGGCAGCCATGTCACACACACTGAACCCCTAATTTTTGTCCCCACCCCAGAGCCGGGGGGGGTCCACAAAATCCTCTAATCCCAAAATCGCAGATGAGTAAATCTGGCCCATGGGAAGCCCTGATCCTCAGTCCTCCCTGTCCCTTTTCTCTCACCATGGGGCTGGGGTGCCAGAGGAGTAAGGTGGTCTTAGTTGGGGGCCACATCAGTGAGTGTTGGGGGTTTTGAAAATTTGTTTTTTTAAACTTCTCACTTTTGTGGTCCCCAACTGATTTTTCTGTGGGTCAGTGGCCCCCGATCCAAAAAGGTTCCTCACACCTGCTTTAAATAAAGAAAATATTGAAACCTTTTGTGTTAGACATAAATTAATATTTTACTTTATTTAAAATGAGGTTTGATAAACTAATATGAGAAGTTACAGTGCTCAATGTATTTAATAATTTAATATTTCCTTTCTTACTGCTTAAATTAAACCATTCTCCCTAGCTGCAGCACAAGCAAAATGGCACAGGCATAACTATGTAATTAACAGCAAGTTTCCATTCGCAACTGGTGGTTGATGGAAAGGTTTGATTGAGCTAGGTGGGCGATGAGCCAAAAAGTTTGAGAACCACTGATCTAGGTTCACTGAAATGTGCAAAATCGTGCAGCATAAACATCATAAATTAGATTAAAATCCTTAATTAGCAGACTGGCCACTCTAGGTATCAATTGTTTAAATAGTGATAAGGGCAAATTAGGGTGGCTTTCACAGGCGATTCTTGTAATGATTCTATCACGAAAAGTTAAATACTGTAAAATATCATCTAAATCAGGTAAGACCGTGGCAATCTTCTGTAGTTAGTAAGCGTTTTTTCATGTCATTTTTTCTACAGTAAAAGCTCTGTTAACTGGCCTGTTGAGGGTATGGGGCGTGCCAGTTAATTGAATATTTTGGTTAACAGAGTTATACTTTACCAATGGAATACCAATTTTCAAATTATTAGAATACAATAAGATGAGTAAAGTATAAAATAGTACATAAATACTCACCAATCCAGTGCTAATACTGAATTGCAGTGGTTGGTTTCTTATATACTTAAGGGTATATAAAGTTTTCTATAGAATAGGTTATCTTATGACATTACATATTACTATGTAAAAATACACTTAACACTAAAACTATGCTGAACATAATACAATCTTTCTTTGACACAGAAGGCACTTCAGGATCATCATAATCAACATCAATTATCATTGTAGATGTAGACAGTGCAGGGGATTGGGCTGAATCTGTAATGACACTATGACATACCTTGGAAGCTGCTTTTTTGAATAAATCCCTTATTTCAGCTTCCATACTTGTCTTTTGTCTCTTTTGCATAAAAGTAGAGTACAGCATGAAGATTTGTATTGGGAGATATTAGAAATGCTTGTTAAGTGAGCTTTCTGATTAAGTGACGAGGAGTCCGGTGGCATTTCATGGGCAAAGACCCACTTCGTCAAATGCATCTGACGAAGTGGGTCTTTGCCCACGAAAGCTTATGCTCCAATAAATCTGTTAGTCTATGAGGTGCCACAGGACTCCTTGTTGCTTTTGCAGATCCAGACTAACACGGCTACCACTCTGATGCTTTCTGATTAAGTGAGTGACGGATAACAGAGCTTTAGCTACCCAGTTTACTGCTTGCCTACAGTGTGGGAAAAGCAATTGTTTAAAGAAAAATATTTTTATCATCTACTTACACTATAATATTGAAGAAATCCTTGTTTGACATTTGTTCTTCAAGTAAAAGTCGCAAGGAATGTTGTATATGAATGATGTATAACGAATTTGTTATTGAGATATCAACAAGTATAACAACTCTACAGAAGGAATACATGCCTTAATTAAAAAAAGACTCAAATAACAGACACTATTTCAGTCTCTCTCTAGATATTTTAATTTCTACTTATTTAATTAGTAGGGGGCTGCACCCCCTGCTCACTAGGCTCGCCAACCCATGTCTCACAGGGAGTAGGCAACCCCAGCTCTCCCCGTTAGCAGTGGGGAAGGCCGGGCTGTGGCCATGGCAGTCTGGGCCCCTTCCCTCCACACTCTGAGCTGTGCCAGCCTGGGTCCCTTCTCTCTCCCTCCCCACCCTTGCCCTTGCTATTCCCCCCCCTCCACCATACCAGCCCGGGTCCCTTCTGCCATCCCTTCTGCGCCAGCCCTGGCCCTTTTTCTCTCCCCCCTGACCAGTCACCCTGCCATGGCCTAATCCTAGTTCCACCCTCCTGGCCAAGGCCTTACTAGGCCTGGCTCTCTCCCCCCTGCCTCAAGGGGATTGGGCTGGGCTCAAGCCATGCTCGGTGAGGCCCGGCCCTGTACCCCCAGCCTTCGGTGGGTTGGGCCGGGCCAAAGCCACACAAAGCCAAGCCTGACCCTCTCTCCCCTGGATTTCCACCCCTCCCCACTTCGAGCACTGGGGAGGGAGAAAGGGGAGAGTCTGTGTGGCTTCCCCCCCACCCGAACACTGGGGAGGAGGGGAAGGGCCACTCCCTACCACCTGGAGCTGCAGGGAAGGGTGGGCCTGCCCACGGCTGGGCCTGCCTCTGCTCTCCCCTTCCCAGTGTCCAGGGGAAAGCAGGGTTGGCCTGGCTGGGACCCGGCCCCTCTTGGCGAGGTCTCCCAAGAGCTCTAGGGGGTGGAGCCATGTGGCCATCTCTGGAGCTCTGGGGATACCTTGCTGGAAGGGACTGGGTCTATTTACGTGGGATTTAAGACAGAAAATTTCCCACGGGGTCACTTCCTAGATACCTCAAATTTAAATGTGTATTTTAATGTTCTCACTGAAACTGTGGTTTCTTTTCTAGAACATTTGAATTTCAGTGTCTCTATGGTGCACTGAACACTTCATCATCAATAATAAAAAGATATGCTGTACAGTAAAATTTCAGTTTTCAAAAATGGATACTTAAATTGCATGCACAAATCACATATCTGCAAATTATACATTTAGGCGTGTACATTTTCTGTACTGTTTCAATGTCTGTTTACAGAACTCTACTGCGACATGGACCCATGATGCCCAATACTAATACCTCTGTTCACAAACAGTTCCCCATATTCTTCTGCTTGCAACAGAAAGCCAGTCTATTCGCCTCTCATACATTCTCACCATTTTATCAAGTTGTTTCTGTGAACAAAATATAGACAACTGATAAGCGATGATGAAAATAATCTAAATTAATATGCTTCCCTTTGAGAATAAATTTGTATTTCCAAACATTTATTGGCCTGAAAGTAGGGTAACTGACTGAATAAAAAATATACACATAAAAAAATTCAAGTATTTAAACGGATGGAAATGGTCAGTTATGGTTAAGTAGATAAAGTTTCCAATACTCTTACAGCTCATGCGTTCTGTTAAAATATCTGAAAATAAGACCCACAGAAAATGATGAAGAAACTAAAAAGGGCTCCCTGGTTCTCTCACTAGCCACAGGAATGTCAAATGATAGAATAGCTTGCTCATAATTGCCCTCTGTGTAGCTCCATCATCTTTAAATCTTCTTCATTAGAAATGAAGCTGTTTCACGGTGTATAAAATACTTGATTAATCATAGGGAGGAGCACTGAAAATATAACTTGGCATTTAGGACACTCACTTGGGAGGCAGAACACCCATGTTCAAGTTCCTGTTCCAATAACTATTTAACTATTTAAAAACAGGTGCAAAGCTCCACACATTCAGCTGGGGAAACAAGCCAGTAAGTATCTCTCAGTGGTGGCATTACAGGAGTCAGAGGGGAGTGAGAAACAGGAGGTGCACCAAACAGACAGACAAAGTGCAGCACAACTGTTACTGGAGCCATGGACAGAAAAAGATGTCATACCCAACCTTAGCATTGACAGCCACAGATCAGCCAACACATCCCAGGGAAGCTGGCAGGAAATACAGGCGGTACAAGTACACATGTAGCAAGTTTGCACAATGATCTACAGCAAGTAGACACACAGTCATTTCTTTCAGCACCTCAGAGACCACTGGACATTCTTCACCCTCAAATCAGCGCTTCTTGCCATTCTCCTTGGATGTATACTGTTAGGCAGCCATTCCCGGGGGTGGGCACTGAAGGGGCCAGCACCCTACGAAGGCAATGACAGACAACTAGAGTACCCAGTTCATATCTTATCAGGAGGTTTCAATACTCACTGTTCCAAAACTAACAGAAAACTGGGAATGGGGAGCTGCATTTGCTAGAATCAGTACAAGCACTTATCCTGCAGTAAGGGGTCTGCCCAACCATCTTACCTGTTTCTAGGGATGTTAAAGGTTAAATGTTTAACTGGTTACCATCTTACCATAATGCTTACTGGGTAACTGGTTAACCTGAGGGCCTGGCCTGTGGAAGAAGCCCCCTGCCCTTGGCTGCCTGGCCGACAGGACCTCAACAACCACAGGTGCAGGGCCAGAGCAGCCCCCAGCTTTCTGGGTTGAAGCAGCCCCCCACCCGTGACCAATGATTAACCAGTTAACCAGGGGCTGGCAACCTTTCAGAAGTGGCATGCCAAGATTTAACTTATTCACTTCTATATATGGATCTGCGTGCCAAGGGGAGAAGGGAGCAGGAGCGGGCGGGGTATGGTGACCATATTTTCTGAACCAGCTGCAGCTAGGGAGAATGGTTTAATTTAAATTATTAAACGGATTAAATGTTTTAACTTTCTCATGATTGTTTTTCAAACGTCATTTTAAATACTGTAAAGTAAAATATTAATTTATGTCCAAAACAAAAGGTTTCAATGTTTTCTTTATTTATGGCATGGATGGGGAACCTTTTTTGGGTTGGGGGCCACTGTCCAGTGTTCCCTCTAAGGTGCGTGGCTGTATGGGCGCGCACCAAGAATTTAAAGCTCGCTCACCTTCTCAGCTGAACTGTGCAGTAATGGCTCAGCTGCTCCGGGGTGGGGCTGCATAGTTGGTGTCTGCCCCACCCCAGAGGCAACAGGACAGCAACCTTGTGGCCCTAGTTTCAGCCCTTCCCCAGGGCTGGAGCCAGCTGAGACCAGAGCCGCAGGCTGCGTGGCTGCTCAGGTGGCCCTGGCTGGGACAGTGTGGGATCACCTCCTGAAAAACTGTCCTGGTTTTCCTCAACCTCATCTTCTGGGTAAGTCAGGAGGTGGGCAAGGTCTAGGCTGGCACGCTCCTTCTACAGCAGATGGAGGGATGTAGTGCCAGCCACAAGGCTGAGAGACCCAGGGGGTCTTGGTTACATGGGTGGGGCTCTGGAGACAGGGGGCTAGTGCTGTGCAACTGGAAGTGGGAGTGTCTAGTTGTCCCATCGGGTTGCACACGGCCAGCATTGCACCCCCATGAACTGTGACATGCTCAGGGCATGGAGGCTTCCTGGAGGGTGAGTAATGCTGGTGCTGCCTGGGCTGTTGCTTCTCACACTGCCTTCTATCAGGTGAACCCCTGCATCCCCACACAGAGGGGAAGGGCTGTTAACACTCATCTGTTTTTAAATAAGCTTCTAGGTTACTTCTGGCTTACCCTGATGTGAATCATACACCATTCCATTTTGGGGGTACAACATTATTAGTAAATGCAGGTTAATATGAGAGTTGGGCTACAGGGTGATAGAGACCTTAGAAGAAAAGTACTCCACATAGAGGTTTCCAAATAACCACTATTGACTTGATCCTGGTTATGAAGTTAAGAACTTTTTTTAAAAATCTCTATGCTGCTTGTGGTCATCTAGGGTATGTCTAGACTACATCCCTCTGTTGTCAGAGGGATGTAAATTAGACATACCGACATTGCAAATGAAGCAAGGATTTAAATATCTGCTGCTTCATTTGAATAAAAATGGCAGCTGCATTTTGCAGAGTCAGCACTTTGTCGGCAAAAAGCAGCTGTCAAGACGGGGATCAGGCGACAAAGAAAGCCTTTGTCAACCGATCCCTTATGCCTACGTCGTGTGTGTGTGTGTGTGTGTGTGTGTGTGTGTTTTCCAGCGGGGGAAAGGGAAATGGCAATGCATGGAGCCAAGGGGGGCTAGTGTTTCCCACCTGCTGGATTGGGCAGGGCGGCTTGCATGCCAGGGCGGCTTGCATGCCACTTGTGGCAGGTTGTTGACCCCTGGGTTAAACAAACTGTTTAACTCTTTTGGGCAGTTTTTACATCTCTACCTGTTTCTAGAGCTCTGCACGGATACAAAATTTGTATCTGCATCCAATCTGCAAAATAGGCCACAGATATTATATCTACAGATATAAAGAGGATATTCATAGATTTGAAGGAGGCTTGTCTGTTTCCAGGCTAAGTCTCCTGCATCATCCATAAGCCAGGGAGCAAGAACCAGTAGAGTAAATTCTGGTATTCAGTGGATTATTAAAATACCAACAAGACTTAATCTACTTCTAAATGTCAAGAGCACATTTCTCTAAGGTTTAAATGGAAACAAATACTTGAAAGGCATTCTGCACGTTTTTGAGCACAGCAGCCATATGCTGCATTCCAGATTGTATTCAGCATACAGATTCTTTACTATAGTGGACACTAAAAAAGGGTAAGCACTTATCCCATGCTCAGGGCTTGACAAATAATACAAGCTACTCGCCCGTGGCGAGTAGATTGTAACCCAGAAGAGCCGGGTTCGGGCGATCTGCACATGTGCAGATCGCTGGACGGTGTGGTTGGTGAGCGGGGCTCACTGCCAGGGGCGCGGTTTGTTTAGTCTGAAAAAGAAAAGACAGGGGGGACATAACTTTCAAATATGTAAAAGTTTGTTACAAGGAAGAGGAAGAAATACATGCCCTTACAGCTGCCATCAGGGGCCGCGCGCCTGGCTCCTGCAGCGCCGGCCAGCAGCGCCCTTCCCCCTACGGCTGTGGGGCCCTGCATGGCCCAGCGCTGGCCAGGCCAGGCTGGGCAGCGCATGCGCCGTGTGCTTCGGGGGCGGGCCCCGGGCTGCGTACTAGTGGCCATGGCCGGCGTGCACTCTGGGGGGGTGGGCCCGCGCATGCGCCCTGTGCCCGGGGGTGGCACCACGCACCCAGGCCCAGGGCGCCAAAAGGGCTCAGGCCAGCCCTGCTCGCCACGGTTTGGTGAGCCCTGCCCATGCTATTCCAGATGCTATACACAAAGCTGTCTGAAGAATACTATCAGGCATAACATACTGGGCAAAATGAGAGCATCACCGATGATGAGCTATAGATCACAAAGTTAGTTTCACCATACTCTCATAAGGCTGATTCACAACAGTAGGAGTGGATGTACTTGGCTGGCTGTAGGACACATTCATCCTTTCCTGTGACAGCTGTTTGTAATCCTATGGGGGCAATGAGAGGATCAATACAGGAAAGATATGTGTAGACATCACAGAATCTAAGCCATCACACCTATCCAAACTCATTACTGTCTTTTATTGCAGCTATCAAATGCAGGGAAACTCATCTGTAACAGGTCATTTGGGAGACAGAGTCAGTGTTCCTTCTAATATTTTCCATCCATGAGTGGAGTGAGTTTTTTCTTGTGCACCAATATTGAGGTCTTGTACACTTGTTCGGATGTGTGCCACTGTTGCACCCACCAGTTATTAACAAATATCATATATATTTTAAATATTATGGAAGAAAAAATACTAAAACAGCCATTTCCCAGTCACAAAGATTAAAAAGAGCTGTTAAATCAGAACTTTCACCCACATATCCTTATTATTATGGCTGATCCTACGTGCCAATGTACTGTATCATGCCATCAGTTACAAATAAGGTAAAAAGACATCAGCCCCCTACTCCCACATACTTGCAAAGTTTGAACAAGCTGTTTTTCTTAAAGACCTGTGCTGCGCTGCTACACACCAGTAATAAATGGAGGCAGGAATGGTTTCCTTGGCAAAGAGCAAATGCTCCCATTCTCAAGGTTGGCAGAACCTGGCCTGCCACAAATGAACTATTAATAGTACTTTGCAATGGCTAGAGAGATGATGGCTGCTGGAGTTGGAGCTGGGGCTGCAGTGCGGCTGCTCCAGGGCCCAGGCCGTAGTGCATAACAACTACTTATTGACTACCCCTACACCAAACACAACATGGAAGGCCTTACAGTCATTCTGACAGAAATGGGTGCTTCCTAACAAATGAACCTGAAAATAATGAATTGTGATGATTGCAGCAGATACAAGAACAATC